AGTTATCTTCTAGTTTAAATAACTCATTCTCTCTATATTTTTTTAGCTTTAATATCAACATATTTATTTTATTTTTTATTTTTAAATTTCAATTTTTTAAATTAATTTATTTTTAGTTGTCAACATTCACTTCCACAAGATTTTGAGTTCCAAATTTTCTTCCCGTCTTGTCCCTCCAAAGATAGCATGCATTCTGAATACCCCTTCTCTTAATCTGGCCTCCCTTCTATCTCTCCTCCCCTTCTCTTATCTCCCTTCCCCTTCAATTTTCCTATAGGACAGGATAAATTTCTATACCCCATTTCCTGTATATCTTATTTTCGAGTTACATGTGAAAACAATTTTTTTTAACATGTGTTTTTAAAACTTTGGGTTCCAAATTTTCTCCCTTCCTCCCTCCCCACCCATCCTCATTGAGAAGGCAAGCAATTCAATATACATGTGTAGTGATGCAAACACTTCCATAGTAGTCATGTTGTGAAAAACTAAGTATATTTGCCTTAATCCTATCCCGCCCCCTATTTATTCTATTCTCTCATTTGACCCTGTCCCTCCTTAGAAGTGTTTGCTTCTGATTTCCCCCTCCCCCAATCTGTCCTTCCCTCTATCATCCTCAGCTTTCCTGTCACCTTTCCCCCCTATTTTCCTGTGGGGTAAGATAGATTTCCATACCCAATTGAGTGCGTATGTTATTTTCTCCTTAAGCCAAATCTGATGAGAATAAGATTCATTCATTCCCTGTGACCTTCCCCCATTTCCCCTCAACTGTAAAAGCCTTTTCTTGTCTTTCATGTGAGATAATTTACCCCATTCTACCTCTCCCTTTCTCCTCTCCATATAATCCTCTCTCACCCCTTAATTTTATTCTCTAGATATCATCCCTTCATCTTCAACTCACCCTGTGCCCTCTATCTCTCTATCTATCTCTCTATCTAATACATACATATCATTTTTCCCCTCCAACTACTCTAATACTGAAAAAGGACTCATGAGTTACAAATATCTTCTTTCCATGCAGAATGTAAATAGTTCAACCTTAATAAGTCTCCTATGATTTCTCTTTCCTGTTTACCTCTTTATGTTTCACTTGAGTCTTGTATTTGAAAGTCAAATTTTCTATTTAGTTCTGGTCTTTTCATCAAGAATTCTTAAAAGTCCTCTATTTCACTGAATGATCATTTTTTATGCTCAGTTTTGCTAGGTAGGTGATTCTTGGTTGTAATCCTATCTCTTTTGCCCTCTGGAATATTATATTCCAAACCCTGTGGTCCTTTAATGTAGAAGCTGCTAAATCCTGTGTTATCCTGATTGTGTTTCCACAGTACTTGAATTGTTTCTTTCTGGCTGCTTGCAATATTTTCTCCTTGACCTGGGAACTCTGGAATTTGGCTACAATATTCCTAGGGGATTTCTCTGAGGAGGAGATTGGTGGATTCTTTCAATTTCTATTTTGCCCTCTGGTTCTAAAATATCAGGGCAGTTTCCTTGATAATTTCTTGAAAGATGATGTCTAGGCTCTTTTTTTGATCATGGCTTTCAGATGTCCAATAATTTTTAAATTCTGTCTCCTGGATCTATTTTCTGGGTCAGTTGTTTTTCCAATGAGATATTTCACATCATTTTCTATTTTTTCATTCTTTTGAATTTGTTTTACATTGTCTTGATTTCTCATAAAGTCACTAGCTTCCAATTGCTCCATTCTAATTTTTTTTTTTTTTGGCTAGGCAATGGGGTTAAGTGACTTCCCCAGGGTCACACAGCTAGTAAGTGTTATGTGTCTGAGGCCAGACTGAACTCAGGTCCTCCTGAATTCAGGGCTGGTGCTCTATCCACTGTGCCACCTAGCTGCCCCTTAATTCTAATTTATAAGGAAGCATTTTCTTCAGTAATTTTTTGGGCTTCCTTTTCCATTTGGCCAATTTTGCTTTTTAAGGCATTCTTCTCCTCATTGGCTTTTTGGATCTCTTTTGCCATTTGGGTTAGGCTATTTTTTAAGGTGTTATTTTCTTCAGTATTTTTTTGGGTCTTCTGTAGCAAACTGGATCTCTTTTGCCATTTGGGTTAGGCTATTTTTTAAGGTGTTATTTTCTTCAGTATTTTTTTGGGTCTTCTTTAGCAAACTGTTGACTTGTTTTTCATGATATTCTTGCATCACTCTCAGTTTTTCCTCTACGTCTCTTACTTGTTTCTCAAAATCCTTTTTGAGCTCTTCCATGGCCTGGGACCAATTCATATTTTTCTTGGAGGCTTCGGATGTAGGCGCTTTGACTTTGTTGTCTTCTTCTGGTTGTATGTTTTGATCTTCTTTGTCACCAAAGTAAGATTCTATGGTCTGACTCTTTTTGCGCTGTTTGCCCATGACTCCAGTGAATTACTTGAGTTATAAACTTTTTGTTAAGGTAGGAGTTTGCTTCCAGTGTGGAGAATGTAGAGAATGTGGAGAATGTGGAGAAGCTGTCCCAAGCTTCAGGGGTTTTGTGCAGCTGTTTTCAGAGATACTTCTAGTGACCTGTAAATTTTCAGTTTTTCCAAGGTGCTATGATCAAGGGCAAGGTGTTTACTCCTTTCCTGGCCTGTGCTCTGCTCTATGAGTGACCACAAGCACTCTTTTCTGTCTTGGAACTGTGAGAAGGGTTTCCTCTCCACAGCCACTACAAGCTCCACCACACCAGTGCTCCTCCTCGCCCCAGGACTGCCACCCAGAACTGTGACCCAGATCCAAGCATGGGCAAAGCAAGAGACTCCTGCACCAGCAAAGAGATCCTTGCAAACCCTCTCTGATCAGCCACTCAATTCCCCCTCAGTCTGTGGGCCAGAAGCTCAGGAGGTAGCCACCGCCCCGGGGCCATGCTCAGGGACTGGGGCTGGGACTCCACCATGCTTCTCTCTCACCACCGCAGACACAGACTTTTCCTACTGACCTTCTAAGTTGTCTTTGGCGGTCATGGGTTGAGAAGTGGAAACCACCACAGCTGCTGCTCCAGGTTCCCTGAGGTCTACCTTGCCTGCACACCCACACTGAACTGCGCTCCTCTCCCAGCCTGGCGCGATATACCTTTCTGATCAACCATCCAGGCTGCCTTGGGCTGGAAATTTGTTTCACTCTGTCTTTTTGTGGGTTCTGCTGCTTTAGAATTTGTTTAGAGCCATTTTTTACAGATCTTTGGAGGAGAGCTCAAGCAAATAACTGCTTTTACTTTGCCATCTTGGCGCCACCCCCCTCTATATATTGTTTATCCCAAAAACCTATGATACTATTTTTGTCTTTGGGGTTTTTTACTTTGTTGCTTATAATTTTTAAAGTTACATTCATCGATATTTTCCTTCTTTTTGTTGATCATTTTAACAATGCATTTTCTCTGAGAACCGTTTTTGCTGCTACAGCCAGCTTTTCTCAGATCTTATCCTGCCCTCATTTACCCAGGCAATTCCCACACCAGGAATGTACTCCTTTCACATCTGTGCTTTGAAGTCTTTTTCCCTCTTGGCTCAGTCTAGGTGTCACCACCTCTGTGAAGCTTTTCCTGAACCACCCCTTCCACAGCTGAAAGTGATCTCTTTGCTCCTCACTTTTTCTTAGAGCACTATTCAGATCTCTTCATCATCATCATCACCATCACAAGCTGTTTTGTTTGTTACTTTTTGGTGCCTATGTTGTTAGCTCCTGTTAGATAATAAACTCCATGAAGCTAGAGTCTGTGACATTCTTCATTCGTTAATAATTAATAATAATGAGCACTTAGCAGTGTCTTTCACTTAAATGCTGTTAAAAATGTCTCTCTTGGTAATCGTGTCCTGGAGACTCGAAGCTCCACTCTGCCAGCATTCTGCTTCAGTGTTGCTTTGAAGCAACATTTTGCTTCAAAAGTTCTTCAGATAATGAGATTGCATCTGAATCTTCTTTTCTTGGTCAAACTCCAGCCCAGGCCGGAATTGATTTATATCTACTCAGGTTTGGGTGAAGACAGACTTCCAAGACTGGGGATAGTATTTCCTTTGATGGAGGGTGAAATTGGCCCTTCTGGGCTGTGATCTACAGCACTCACTTAAGACTTCATTTTAATATCACCCACCATCAATCATGGTTGATTGGCACCCTCTAGGGAACACCCATTCTTCGGAAGGGCATATAACATTGTACTCCAAAATCCTGAGCCAAGCCAGTTCTTAACTGGCTCCTGTAGGCGTGCCCAGTTTTGGACTGAACTCCCATACAATGCACATCAAGTCACTTTGAGAAATTAAACACATGTACCCCAACTTCGTTTGGCTCTTAGAGCAGACTCTTTCTAATTGGGGTTCTTGGTTCACAATACTTAATACATGTTTGCTGAATTGAATTCACACTATAGTATAAAAACATTCTCTTTAATCAAGTTTTTTCTCTTGGGCCACATATGGGGTTAGGGAAGGGAAAGACACCACAAAATAACACCATTCCAACCTGTTTCATGGGATGTAGAAATTTACTCAAGGCCTCAAATATTCCTTAAATAGGAAGCCAGAAAGGGAACCAAGGCTTCTTGAAGTATTTTGACTTGTCTTACTTGAGGAAGGATTCCAATTGGCTCTGAATCTGTAAGACACGTAAATCTTCCTTCTCAACTAGCCCACTGTGAACCCTTTAAAAATAGTTTAATTTGTAACCAGACTTATTTACCTATAGTCTAACCATATCTGTGTCGTTAAGGGTTATATGAGATTATGATGCTGTTTAACTTTTATGGCTTAAGAGGATGTATGAGATTGCTGCATGTCAAAAATTATTTTTCTGACGTAATTTTTGTCTATGAAGTCCTAACTTTCTTTGGGGTTATTTTTCTTCCTCCTGAACCTGTGCTTAATCATAGTAAATCTTAGGTCTTTACCTTTATAATTTCTGCATTGTGAACCTAACATATGAACTCAGTGGGAAATATTTCTCCTATAATACCAGTGTCATAGGGGTGTATGTCACAAAAAAAAATGAAGGCTCTAATAGAGGAGAGTCAGACAGCAGCTTTTACATCAGTTAAAATTTATCATCGGCATTAAGTCATACAAAATTTGTATAGATTGGTTCTAATATACATGTAGTATGACACCAATCGTAACACCATGCACGTTGTTCATCCTTTGTTCTCGAAGAGGACCAATGACATTATGAAGGTGATGTCTTAATTGTGAATTGGTTTTAAGTGAGACAGTGGAAAGGCTGGTCACAAGAAGGAGGCAACAGCCAGGACCTCCCTTGTGCTGTAGCCCTCCACATCAAACACTCCATTGTTTAGTTGATAAAGGTGAATAAATGAAAAATGCTATTCCCAAATTAACAAACCTGGGGGGGGGGAAGATTCCTGTATGCAAAGGATTCCAAACACCATCATTAGGCAAGGAAGAAGACAGCCAAGCTGTAAAAACATCAGAAGAATCCAAAGCTACTGAGGGAGAGTCTTTTCCCCTCCAGAGTTTCCAAATGCAAAGAAACACTTGGCATGAAATGTCAGTGTGAGTTGCGACTCTATATAACTTGCATTTTCATTGGTCTTGCTCTGCTGCCTTTGTTCCCCACCCCCTCAGCTCTGCCCAAAGCACCCAAGGAATCACTGAAAGCCAGGAAATATCAAATAGTTTTAGAGAGAACTACTGTTATCTGGCCAGCATTTTATTTTACTCTTTTGAATTTTACTAGTTGGTCTGGGATTTGGCTAAAGTACAATCTGACCTTCTTTTCTTGGTATGTTTGCTGTGGAAAGACAACACTTCTTTTAGAATTGTGTGAATGATTGCCTTTGAAAATGCCTAATAAGCTAGACTAGTCTAAATACATCACAAAACCTACTATTAACTATTGTGAGGTAAGTGCTAGAGATTCTCATCAAGTCCCAAACTCCCAGGCATCAAAGTGAACCAAAATCAGTGTTAGGGGTTTAGATTTCTGGCTACACATACCAATGGGGTGGCTACTGTTAACATTCACATATTCCTTACAGACAATCTTGTGTTCTGGGGAAAAGCTGGATGGTTTGTGAGGGAGATAAGTGGCTAGTAGAGACTAGCTAACATAAAGAGCTACTTGTGTCCTGGTTTTAATATCTTAAGGCTATAAGCTCACTGGAGGTTTGGTTATTGTTTATTTCTCTATTTTTATTCTTATGCTACTATTGGATGAGTTTTCTAAACTCTCTCTGGACCACAGTTCTTTTTGCTCTTCCACGCTGTACTGATTTTAAGAGGAATTATTCAATAGGACATAACGAAGACAGCATACTCATTATATTTTATTTCATGATTATTGACGATAAAACTGAACCCAAAAGCTATTATTTTAGTTGGTGCCCACTGAAATTATATGACTTTATTTGTTTATAATTCTGAGTTATACATTTGATTCACCTTTCTCTCCTGTATATTATGACCATGATTTTAGGAACCTGAGAGGAATTTGACCTAGCAATGGATCACCTCTAGAACCAGAATTTCTAGGCCATGAAACTATTTTCCTGAGAATCGTGACTAGTATCAGTGCTCGTTAATGCTAGAACAAAAACAAAATTTTAAGTTGAAGCATTTCCAAAAAGATCTATAGTTACTGAAATAAGGTTTTCAGAATGTTAGGCCATTTACAAGATTGATCTTCTCCCAACACTCAGTTCATCTGTGAGGTGAGTGGGATAGGGCAGATGGCCTCTCGGGTCCCTTCTTCCAACCCTAAATCTATGATCCTGTGCAAAGAGAGCCTGGGAACCCTAGCAGATGGAAAGAAAATGTGAAGAACAGGAGAAAGCACTTTCAAGAACATCCTTCAGCCTGTCATTTAAATCTGAGGCCTTTTCCAGCTTCCAAACTATCAATCTCTGATTTGAAACTCATTCCATCCTAAGTCAAAATCTGGTAAAAGCCTTTAGAAGCTAGAAGATTAAGCCAGAATAATTTTTATCTCATGTTAGGAGTCACAAGATGAGGACTGAAGAAAATAGTGGACTACAGTAATGTGCTCTGAAGTTCTTCCATAGGATTTGGGGTGAACTGAATGCCCTTTTAATATTGATCTGACTATAAAGTTATAAAATACTAGATCATTTGGGAATGTGAAAGATAATAGGAGAAGTAACATCTCCAGAAGGAGAAAAAAAATCTTTTTCTGGTTTAACATTTTAGAAATTAAAGTAAAATGTTCTGGCAAGATAGGAGGCGTTGAAAGAGAGGCAAAATTGGTGTGTGTTCCAGCACATCATATAAGATTCCAAGTGCCCTGCAGTAGAACAAAGAAATAAGATTATTTTTGAAAAGGAAACTTTTCTCCCTTATCTTTTACCCCTCTCTCCAGAATATTAATGCATGAGATTCAAACATGATCTGTTATAGATGGTAACTGAATAATATTCTATCAAAACACTAGCTGCATGATAACTGAAAAAGAAATATCGGCTCCTTAGGCCCCTTTCCTCATTTGCAAAGTGAGCCAGCTCACTGACCTCTGCAGTCCCTTCCAGCTAGAACATTATATAGCCTTGGAAAGTATAAAAAACTGAATGAGGAGAATACAGTTCTCTCTCTCTCCCCCTCCCCTCCATAAATATATCTAAATCCATTTCTGCACAGGCATACCTGTGTGAATCTATATCTATACAGACATATACATGTGTCCATATATAGATGAAAGAATATATATATCCTATGATATATATGTAATATATAGTCTACATTTAAACAATATTGTCATTCAGTTGTGTCCAACTCTTCATGACCCTGGGGCTAGATTTGAACTCAGGCCTTCCTGACTCTAGGCCCAGTGCTTCATTTACTGTACCACCTAACTGCTTTCTATAGAGACAATACGTATTGTCTACATGTGTTTATAAGAAAATAGAAAGAGGGGCAGCTAGGTGGCGCAGTGGATAGAGCACTGGCCTGGAAGTCAAGAGGACCGGAGTTCAAATCCGGCCTCAGACCAAACACTTGTCACTTACTAGCTGTGTGACCCTGGGCAAGTCACTTAATCCCAATTGCCTAAAAACAAAAACAAAAAAAAAAAGAAAGAAGAAAGAGACACAGAGACACAAACTCTTAATCAGATTGGTTGCCTGATTGCCATTCCTAACACAGGAAGATAGAGCGGTAGAAAGAGTGAAAAGAAAAACAAAAGTAATACAGATTTGAATTGCAAGAACACCAAAAACAGAGACATAGCTCTGTTCATGTGCCTCCTCTATAAATTCAAATCGTCTCTCTGTAGGGATTCCTAATCTGGGGTCCACAAACTTAAAAACATTTTGATAACTGTATTCTAATAGAATCAGTTTCTGGATTTTGTTTTTTGTTTTGCATTTAGAAAAATTAGAGAATGGGTCCATAGGCTTTAATCAGACTGTCAAAGGGCTCATGACACAACAAAGTTAAAAGAACCAAACCCCACCACCACCCCTTGCTTTAGAGGGGAAGGGTCATAGTACAGCAGGAGGAACAGCAGTTTTAAAGTCAGAGGACGTGGATTCAAACTCCACTTCTAATGCTGAGAACTTGAGAAAGTCATGGGACTGTCTGTCCCTCACCTACTGTTTTTTCTTCAGCTGTAAAATAACAGAGTTGGATCAGTCTCTGAAGTCCTTTCCAATTCTGCCTCAGTGTTGTGAGGAAAGAGCTTAGCAGCCTAGATCTAGAGGTCAAAGGGCTCCTTAGAGGCCCTCTCTTCCAACCCCTGCCTGCCCCGTTTTACAGAGGAGCAAGGTTAAGTGTGACAAGGCCTGAAATAAATCAAAGTCATAAGTGTCTTTAAATGAAGAATAAAATCCTGCTTGCCTCAGTTTCCTCATCTGCAAAATCAGGAATAAAGTGTCTTTAGTTGAGATGACAGAGTAGTAAACCTGCCACCCTGGGGGATGTCCCACCAAAAGACTCACAGTAAAAGGTTCTTATACTTTTAGGAGAAAAGGAGGAGGGAGGCACTCGAGGTAGCAGATCCTGGTGATTTGTTGCCAGCCACACTTGGCAATCCAAGCCAGGAAAACCACGTCATTCTGGCTGCTTTGCCCTTCATGCCCCAAATCCTAAAGAAAGGGGGCACTTTGGAAACTGGTCTAGTTCAAGCTGGCTTTGTTTACTGGGTAAGATTCCAGGGTGAAACTTAGGGTGTGGTTCAGCTCAACCTAATGGACTCTATCTTAAGGGTAGTGGTGCAAGGACATTAATGGAATTCTGATATTGCTAGGATCATTCAGAGGTGGCGGCGGTTAATATTACGTTTGGTACTAACAATTTCCTGTCATTATGTAAACAATTGTATTAACAATTTTCTGTCAAGTGACTCGTCCAAGGTTATATGAATTCATGCAGGAGCAGATGTGGGATTTATACCTAGGATCCAGGGCTCTTTCTACTCTTAATCAGTGCTAAGTAAATGAATTACTGTATTATTAATGTTTTGATTTAGTAATATTTTCTGGTATTTTGAAATCCCTCTTAGGAATTCTTGGTATTGCCTTTGTTTTGTTTCTCTCCTCTAGTCATCAGTGACTTAATTGGCGTCACTTCCTTTTTATTATTATTATTTTTGGAGGCCATCAGCCTTAAAGGACTTGCCCAGGGTCACACAGCTACTAAGTGTCTGAGGTCAGTTTTGCACTCTAGTCCTCCTGACTCCAGGGCCAGTGCTCTATCCATTGCACCACCTAGCTGCCCCTCACTTTTTTTTTTAAATAAAGTTATTCAGCTCTATCCCCAGATTACACTGCTGTTTCCTTAAGTCTAAGCACAACGATCACATATTCACCAGCAACTAGCTTCACATTAGAACCCTAAAGCCAGCCCTTGAGTAAACAAACCGGAGAGTCAGAACATTTATGGTTGTTTTTTTTTTAATTGTGAGAGATTCTTTTTTTTTTTAAATAATAAAATTTTATTTATTTTTAGTTTTCAACACTCACTTCCATAAGATTTTGAGTTCCAAATTTTCTCCCCATTTCTCACCTCCAGAGAGATTCTTAATAGCCTTATTTGTATAACAACAACAGAAGAGCCAGGGGCTAAGTTGTTGGGCAGGTTAAGAGATCAAAACTTCCTTTCTGAATTCAAACAGGTTTCAGTTTTGATCTCTTAACCTGGAAGATTTTTTAGCTAGATACCAGCTACAACCAAAATGCCTTTTGTTCCTTCCCCCAGCTGTCTTTCCAGTTCTGGAATCATAATCAGTACTGTTATTGCTATTTTCAGGTTGTGCTACTAGTCTACAGGGGCTTAACTAACCATTCCCTTAACTTCCCAAAAGACACCACTCCCCTATGTCTACTTTCCTTCAATTGGAATATACACTTCTGGAGGGCAAGAACTGTCTGGCTATTAGTTTTTGGCACACAAGTAAGTTCATTTATTTAACCAGTTTCAGTAAGTGAGATCCTTGTGGATAGGTGTCTTTTTACAGTTCACCTATGGTCTTTAAAAAACACTGGTCTTGTAGTCAACTAAATGGAGGACAGGGCAGCTAGATGGACAGTGAATGGAGTGCCAGGCCTGAAATCAAGAAGACTCATCTTCCTGAGTTCAAATCTGGGCACAGACACTTACTAGCTGTATGACCCTGGGTAAGTCACTTAACCCCGTTTGCGTCTGTTTCCTCATCTGCAAAATAAGCTGGAGAAGGAAATGGAAAACCCCAAATAGGGCCATGAAGAATTGGACATAACTGAACAACAAAGGGGTGACAAAATATAACCCCATTTTCCAGGTGAATAAGGGTAAGACAAAATGACAGCCTCAGTAGTGACTCACTCTCTGTAAAATGGAAAAGTTCCAAATGCCTAATATCACTGGATATATTTCATACCCAGATGTCTAAACTATTCATAAACGGTTGGCCTTCTTTCCCCCTCAACCAGAAAGATTATACAAGGCACAATAAACAAAGAATTTCTATTCTCTTAACTTTCCCAGAACCTTATCATTTCTCTGATGACTGCCACTTACTGGAAGTTACTGTAACACTCCAATTTGTTGAAGCTTTTGTAGCAACTGGCCATTCTGTTCCAGGGTTATGAGATCTGAGCATCCACCAATACATTCTTTACCAATAAATACCCGAGGAACCTGAAGGGAAAAAAAAGCACAAATAGAAGATATGAAGGGCTTAAATTATGAGTAGATTAAAAGAAATGACATTTTTTGTCCAGTCTTAATATTTCTCCATGGCCAAAGAACTCTTCATATCACAGTAAACATCAGTATGTGTGTATACACACACACACACACACACACACACACACACACACACACACACACAGAATTAGGTAGGGGAGTGGATAGAGTGCTAGGCCTGGAGTTGGGTAGACTTATCTCCCAGAGTTCAAATCTAACCTCAAATACTTACTAGCTGTGTGACCTTGGGCAAATTATTTAACCCTGTTTGCCTCAGTTTTCTCATCTGTAAAATGAGCTGGAGAAAGAAATGGCAAACCATTCCAGTATCTTTGCCAAGAAAACCCCAAAAGGGGCTCCAAAGAATCAGACAAGACTGAAAAACAACTGAACAGCAGCAGCATGAACGTATGTATGTGTGTCTGTAGATGGATAAATAGCTATGGTCTGTAGCAAGAGCAACTCTATGTTGCACACATGAGAATTTGACTTAAAGCTCATTTCAGTGTATTTATGTTTTTCAAAGTGATTGTTCCACGCAAAGGGGAAAAGGTGTTGGGTATGGCCAAGGGTTAATGAAATTGTACTGAATGTAAAGAAATGTCGAAGAGGGTTTTTGTTTACCATGTTTCAAGTTGCCTGTTACTGTTGCTTAGCAACTAATGCAAAACCATAGCAACATAGTTTCTGTCTAAAGAGACATTAAAAAGTAATTTCATTCTAGTGATCTCTCATTCTTCAGATGTGTGAGCAAAACAAGATTAATTTAGCATCTTTTTTCTAACTTGGGGAGGGGGCTTGATTTATAGAGGGAAGATTCAAGGCCACAGCTAGCTAGCCCAGGGAGAGCAAGTCCCTCTTTCGGGCCTTCTGTAGACAGACACACACACAGGCGCACAGACACACCTAGAAAACTGTTCAGTCAGTGGAAAACATCTTCCACCTAAGACGTACCCTTTAGTCTCTCTCTTTACCCAATGAAAGTTATAGCAAAAGCTATAAAATTAAAGTAGACTAAGGCACAAAATTGCAAGCATGATCAATTTATTAGTAAAGCACAAATTTACCAATAAACAGGATCTCAGCTTCCCCATCTAAGCTAAGACCCCTGAGTGAAGGGTATAGCTCTTCTATAATCTTGGGAGTACAGAACAAAGAATGGAACTTTGTAGCTGAGAAACAAGTTATAATCGGTTAAAAGAGCTCAACATCATAAATGGCAAAATCAATGATTGGTTGCAGATAAGCTGAGGCATGGGAGATAAAATGATTAGTCGGAAATGGGGAATGAGGGGCTAGCAAGCAACAACCCCATCCTTCTCTCCTGTAAGTCAGAATTCTTCATTTTTTGAGTCCATCTGCAAGACTAGAGATAGTGATCAGATTTTTTTGGATAACAAACCAGACTTCCTTGAAGGATAGCTTGGTTGTGTAAAGATACTAGAATAGACTCCCTAGTGTCCATCTACATCCCTCAAGAACAACAGATTTCCCTGAAGCAAGAATAGCACAGTGATCAGCAGGAAAACTAGATTTCTAAACTTAACTCATTACAGGACAGCTGAATTTCTGAACTAAGTTCAGAGACAAAGCAGTGACTTACGTAGTTACAGGACAAGATCAATTAACTGTAAAAAGGATCAATAAAAGAGAAAAAAAAGACACATTAGGGATAAAGGTCGTTTTCCACCCTAGCTATATACTTGTGAGGCCTCCACTCAAACACTAAATCTGTAATGAATGGGAACATCCCAGATTTTATGACATTGCCTCTGAGCTAAGCCACAGTCATAAGCTTCATTTTAAATAGAGAGAGCACTTTAAATAATAAAAGAACATGGGAGCTTCCTAACCGGAGGTGGCAGTTGGGAGAATATAAACACAATATAAAGCAGATTGATAAGGAAGAAAGAAGCAAACTCAACCTGGATAATGTGGTAACCTCAGAGGAGAATGATTCCTACACTGGAGACTAGCCCCACAATCTCACAGTTCAAAGAGCCCAAAGTTCTTGTTCTTTTTCTTTTTTTTAGAAAAATCTTTTAAAAATACTATAATAATTTCTCAATATGTCTCACCACAGAATCCTTCCTTGTAACAAAATAAAGAAGTACATAAAACCAAAACAAGAAAGGGATGGTGTTGACACCCTATGCATTATTGTTTATCTCCCAACTAGTAGCTTCTCTGCCCTTCACTGAGAAGAGGAAAAATTTGTTTTTTTGAATCAGCATTGGTCACTACAATTGTCTGGAGTTCATCAGCTGCCCTTTAGTGTTGTTTTCATTTACACTGTTATAATCATCATGTGTATTTCCCAAGAAATCACCTTAACACTTGTGTCAATTGACATCAGGATTTATCATTTTAATTAATTATACTATAATTTCTCCTCTTGATGTAAATGTGCTTTAATACAAATCATTACAAGTAGATATAATAATTTTACTTTGAAATAAAAATTATCTGTCTCTCATATATGCAGATGCACTGTGTCAATTGATGCAACTTGGTCTTTTTAAAGTATTCTAAGATTCTGGTTCTACTGAGGAGAGAGAAGAAAGAAAGAGGAAACAAAGAGAAAGTAGATAAACTTCTAGAGGCTTAGTAACTCAGGAGAGAGCAGGATTAAACGAGGGTTTTAGAGTAAACTCCACAGGGTCTGGTGTTTGGTAATATTATTATTATTATTTTTAGCAAGCTGGGCCTTAAAGGTGTTTTCTCATTAAAACTGTGATTATGATAGGAGTAGGGGGAAAAGAGAGGAGGAAGAGAAATTGGACAAAAGACAATGTTAATAACAAAAAGCTGACTTCCCAAAAAAGGGCCAAGAGATAAGGAAAGTGCTTTAAGATTCTTTCCTTTGGATCCCTCCATCTGTTCTAGCTCCTTCTCTCCACTCATACCACAGCTTCTTTCGTTGGGTCCTCACAACCTCTCCTCTGCACTATTGCTGTAATTTCCTTATTGTCCTCCCTACTTTTGACCTGTTCCTTCTCCAATCTGTCTTCCACACAGCTGCCAAAGTGATATTCCTAAAAACATCAAACTGACCATGTCACTCTCCTGCTCATGAATTGTCTCCAGTATAAAATACAAACTTCTCTGTTTGGCATTTGGTCCATCCCAATCCAGTTCCAGAATGCCCTCACATTACTCCTCCCACCCACTTTTGCCTCTATATTCCAGTCACATTGGATTGTTCCCCACAGATGACATTCCATCTCCCACCTCTTTGCAGGCTTCAGCTCAATGCTTTGAGATAGTCTTTCACTGACCCAGATCAGGTGACACCTCCTGCAGGAGGTTTTTCCTGACCTCCCAAATTATTAGTCCTATCCCCACCAAATAAATTTGAATTACTCTGCATGTATTTTGTATATTTTGCTCCCCCTTCCCCCAGTACAATGTAGGCCCCTTCAAGGAGGGGTAGAGTGCCCTGTTGCTACTAATTTAATTTTTTTTGTCATCTTTATATTCCCAGTGCCTAAACACAGTGCTGGTCCATAGTAGGTGCTCAATAAATCCTTGTTGATTTGGATTACTGCTGCTTCTTTAATTTTGTGGGACAGTAAGAAAAACAATCGAGAAAATAGGGGAGGGAGGCAAAAAGAGGGAGTGATGGGGCTAGAATTTCATAGCTCACACACTGTGTTAAGTGAAGACAGACCAGGAGAGGGACAGGGAGAGACAGAGACCCAGAGTGGAAGAGAAGAGACAGACAGAAATATCTTCAATATAGGTTCCCTTTTAAGTCTGTAATGTAATATATCCAGAGATTCTCCCTTGTCTATCCCCAAAGTGTGACTCCTTCAATTATAGTATATGTTCATGCAGAATGCAATACAAATCAGCTTATCTTTGTGTGGAAACAAAACCCATTTAAAAAAATACAAATAGGCTCAGCTAGGTGGGACAGTGGATAGAGCTCAGGCCTTGGAGTCAGGAGGACCTAAGTTCAAATCTGATCTCAGACACTTGACACTTACTAGCTATGTAACCTTGGACAAATCACTTAACCCCAATTGCCTCACCAAAAAGCAGGAAAAAAAAAGTACAAATAGCAGATAAAATTAGATTTAAGGGTAACTAATTCCAGCAAACCCAGTAGTGGTGAGGCAGAAGAGGATGCCGACCGAGGGGATACATTTACCTGTCCCAGTGCTGTAGAAAATTTAGTCCAAGCAGGTCAGTCACTCTTTAAGCAGGGCAGTGAGCCAGACAAGACTTCAACTGCTGTTGATTCTATTCACGGTCGGGTAGTAACGCTGTTCCCTTGCAATCAAATGGCTGCTGCCTCTATCACATCCCATGGAGTACAATTCTCTTTGACTTCTTTTCAGCTTTTGCCATAGAAGACTACCCTACCTTCTGCCAACCCTGAACAATCTCTTCCCTTAGCTTCTGTCATCATTCTTTCTTGGTTCTGCTCCCACCCACGAGATGTAGTCCAGTCCCCTTTGGATCATCATTTAGCTTCTGTCCTGGGCCTTCTTCTCTCTCTTGTTGATAGCATCAGCTCCCATAAGTTCAATTATTACTGACTTATATGACTTCCAAATCTATTTCTAATAAATGCTTGCTGAATTGAATATCTTCCTAAAAAGTTGCTCTCACTCACCTAACCATCACCGTTTTTAAAAAAATTGATTCTTGTTAGTTTCAGCAGTGAGTAGAGAAGAACCCACCCCAAAGTTCATAATGTGATTCTATAGTATTTTTTAATTGTCATTGTATGATCAAATTACATCTGCTGATCTAAGCAAAGGGTGGCAGTTTGTTCATTCTACCAACTTTCATGTCTTTACATAATTATCCAGACTCATAATTTCATTGATTTTTGGGAACTCCCAGAAGAGGAAATTCCTTCGATACAAAACAGGTGGGCAGCTTCTCTGTAATTTATAGGGGGTTGCTCAGGGTTACACAGCCAGTATGTCAGAAGTGGGATTTGGAGATTGATTTTCCTGGCTTTCAGCCAACCTTCCATTTGCCTCTCATTATCTAATAGTAACACTGCTAAAAAGGCTTGGCATACACTTGCCTTTGACCAGCGGTGGGGAATCCGAGGCCTCGAGGCTACATGTGGCCCACAGGTGCAGCTCTTTGACTGAATCTAAACTCAGATTCAGTCAAAGGGCTGCACTTGAGGACCTAGAGGGCCACATGTGACCTCAGGGCTGCAGGTTCCCCATCCCTGCCTTTCACCAAAATTACTGAACTCAAGAGAGCATTTGTCACTCAATACATATGCTGATCTGGAGTAGGCTCCTAGGCAAGGCAGCCAATCAGGGGGAGAGCAATTTTCTTTATCTTGTGCAGACCCACATCTTTTCATAACTCAGATTTTGGAAGCTGGTCATAACTTTAAGTTGCATGCAACAGAAGCTTCCTCCAGACATTGAAAAAAACAAAAAGCAAAAAACCAAGCCAAGTAGTTTCTAGGACAGAATTGGCACACATTTCTGAAGCGGGCTTGTGGGAACAAAGTCAAAAGTATCCTGAACTGTTACTTATTCCATCCTAGAAACAGAAGGGCCACTTTAACCCACAATGTTCACATTTAACCCATAATCCATTCCAAGCAGGCCAGGTTGACTAGCTGGCTTCTCATCCAGTCTTGCAGAAAGGGCTCTGGAGTCAGAAGGCTTGTGTTTGAACCCAAGATTCTATTTGAATATTCCAGTGACAGGGAGCTCACTGCCTTACATAGCAGCAAGTATGCTTCCTGTTCAGAACATTACAATTTCTCCTAAATATGCTTCCTTTAAAAAAACAACAAAAAGATTGACAGCGACTGTGCTCCCTCTGTATTTGTGGCTAGATTCATACTTATTTTTTCATAAGTTATGGTTGAATTATCAACACACTCTCTCTCTCTCTCTCTCTCTCTCTCTCTCTCAGTGGAAGACTCAAATCCAGGTCATCTTCATACACTAAGTGCCACAGTGTTTTGTTTTTATTTTGTTTTGCTTTTACTATATCCCTTTTTGAGAATTTCCTGCATATTCTTGCCTGTCCTCACCTAGATGGTCCGATGCAACCACACAACAGACCTCTTATCTCATCCTTACAGTATTGTGTTTTTAACCTGGGAGTTGATTACAAACCAGAAGAAAACAACTGAACCTCTTTTAGGCCGTGTAGGCGTTAAGCGAGAATAGAGGAAATAAGGTGACAAAACATAGTGAAGTAACTAACAGAAATTTATCTCTCTTTCCAGTTTCCTTCCTCCCTACCTTTCCGGATTCTCCCCCTACCCAGAAGCACTTTAAGTTGAAGCAATCATTTACTAGCAAAAATGACTCAAAATAACCTCTGAATTACTCTAACAGAAACCTCTGGAGTCAGTGTGACTGCTCAAGTTACTTTGAACCTGACTAGGACTGCATGACATGCCTTTTCACTCTTCTCCTTTCTTTTCTCTCGGATTTGAGAGGTCTGCTAGCTGGATTCCAAGTCAGCCATTCAAGTAGGAGACTGAATAACTCCTCTCCTTCCTTAGCAGCAGACAGCCCAGAATCAAGATGTCCTTGCAGCTTATCTGACAGAGTTAAATGAGGCTTTAACGTAGTTTCTCCCCCTCCCCTTTTCCTTTTTCTGGTATACAGACAAGGAACAAAAAAGTCTCTGACCATAAAGGGAAAAATCCCCTAACACACCCACAAAACCAACGTACTCCCAACACTCCCCAAATACAGATACTCACGGTTCTTGCCCCTGTTAGCTGTTGTAAATAATTTTGGATCCCATTTGTATCGCTGTGGGCTGTTATGTCGACAAATTCCAAGGACTCCAGTTTAATAGGCAGTTGCTTGAGAAGCTCTATAGTTTTTCTGCAGTAAGGGCAGGTGGGCTTGATGAAGACCACCACCTTATCAGCTTTGATCTTGCTATTCACGAACTGCTGAGCCATCTTTACCACCTTTGTGACCTAAAGAGTAAATACCTAAGCTGGGGCAATGCTTGGGGCTTTATTTAACTGTCCTGCTGCTCTTAAAAGGAACCACCCTAGGAGGAGGAGTTTGCATTGACCAAGTCTTGCCTTTTTTTTTTTTTAAAGAGACAGTGTCCCAAGGTGGGAATCCCATCTCACACACATCCTTGTATGACTCACTATTTACAGTGGAAATGAATGCATAATTGTGATTTTTTGCACAATTTTGTCATGTGTCAGCAGTGCCTTTCCTGGGTGCTATGGGTGTCATCATTAAGTCACCTTCCAGGAAAAGATAGGGGTGACTGGGCAGGAATGATACATCAAACTGGCAGCAGTGGTCCAAGGTTGTCTTGTTGCTTGTTTGAGTATTTAGTGTCCGTTAGTGACACTTAAAAGAGACTTTGAGCTGCCCTTGGAACCAGGATGCTGTAGGTTCAGTCACCATCCCTGACACATACTGCTTATGTCCCTTAACCTCTCAGTGTCCTAAGAACATCTCTAAGACTAGAGGTTGCCAAGGAGATGTTAATCTGTATTGGCAGAGGGAAGTTTCCTTATCTTATATACTAAAGAAATCTAGATGGTCCAGTCCCTGTCCCCTGTTAGTGACACCATTATTACAGCAAAAATAAATCCTCAGGGGGCGGTTAGGTGGCTTAATGGATAGAACCCTGACCCTGAAGTCAGAAGGACCTGAGTTCAAATCTGGCCTCAGACCAAACACTTGACACTAGCTGTGTGACCCTGGGCAAGTCACTTAACCACAATTGCCTAAAAAAAAATTAATAAAAAATAATAAATCCTCAGGAGCCAACTTGGAGGTGACTCTTTAAAGAAAGAATGTGAAATGATGTGTGGATTCATGCCAAAAAAAAAAGACTCAAAACAGTGACTAAAGTGAGAGTAAAAGACTGAATTAGGTTTATTTGCATAATACTTAAGACTGGGAATTGTTGCTCTTTGCAATGGCTATGCCTCTAGGTTGGCCCCAAGTCTTACACCCCTTGTCTAAACCCCACCCCTCAAGGGATATTTAGCTTGCACAGTAGGCTTGATGGATGTTTGATTGAAGTTTTTTGATTTACTTCCTAACCCTGTTGCTTAATCTACTCTTTCCAATAAGGATGCAATTTAAATGAATAGATATCTACTCACCATAAGGAAAAACTCCAGGATAATCAGAACTGTCCCCCAAATATAGTGGCAGTCTTTGATTGGTGGTAGTAAGTTCCTTATCATTGAAGGCTTAAAGTGGAAATTGGTTGTAGAAGGAACTAAGTGGCCTCTGAGGTGGTTTATACTTCTAAGATTCTATAGATTTGTTAAATAAGCAATACAATCTGATGAGTTAGGCTGATTTATTTTCTTTTTTCTTTTTTCTTTTAAAAAATAATATTTATTATATGGAATAGTTTCAGGGAGGGAGAGGAAGAAGGAATGCTGAGGAAAACGATGGTGATAAAAACTTGTTTTAAAATAAGCAGTATGATCAATAAAATAAAATATTTTGAAGGTAAAATTTTCTTCTTGCTGGAAAATTGTGCATTGAAAAGAGACATCTAGAAAGCTGCAGAGCCCAGAGAATCCCTGGCAAGGCAGAGGCTGCCTCTGGCACATTTTAATTGGGAAGGCAAGGAAATTAGTTCCAGGAAGTAGCTTTTTGTTCTTCTCGTTTCTTTAAAAAAAAAAAAAAAGCAAAAACAAAAAACCAACAACAACACCATGCTTTTTATTGTGATTTCTTTCGCCATTAAAATTCTTAAATTAAAACTCAACTTATAAGATGAGAATACACTCCCAAGATAATCATGGTAGAGATACTATTGAGAAAAGGGTAGTGTCAGGACTGAGAAAGTAGAATCTGCTTTTTAGAATCAGCTCACAGTTCTCCACAAACTCAAGATTTACTTGGATCAGGCACTACCTAGGGCAAGTTGCAAAGTCAGCAAAGTTTCTATTAGCTCTGTCCCCCTTCTCTTTTCTCAAGCTCTTTCATTCACACCCACATAAGCCCCCTCTTACCACAGGTGGATCTTATTCTTCTCACCCATTAACATTTGACTTTCAGGTGTTGCATTCCCTAAGGATCATCCTAGGCTAGGGCACATATATGTTATTAGGCTAATCTGGGAAACTAATATGTTCTAATTAGCTGCTATTACCCCACCCAGGTGACACAATACTTTTATCTAGTAGTTACAAAGCAAAAGGTCTCTAAGGAATGACTTTAATGGCTGACATTTAGGCAGGCTTGGTGAAGTTGTTTTAGGATACAGGCATTGCATAAGATCATAGATCTAGAGGCAGAGTTCATAAATCTCAACCCTTTATTCATAGTTGAGGAAACTGAGGCCCACCATGTAGGTGGATACCTTTCCTAGGGCCAGCCAAGGCTCCAGGGATTCTAGAAGTTGAGTACTGGATCCTGCTGGGGCCTCAAGTCTCAGTACCATCCACCCCATCCCTTTAGGCCTTCCCTCCCCCATCATTAGTTCCAGCCCCAGCCTTGGATTTCATCCCTGGTTCTCCTTCTTGGTCCACCCTCCAGCACCATACACACACACACACACACACACCCAGAAAGATTATTAAATAATGACAGAAAATTGTTAATACCAAATTAATATTACTGGCCAAGCCCCTTAAATGATCCTAGTAGTGTCAGAATTTCAGTAATATCCTTATATTCCTACTCTTAAGATATTTACTCTCAATTTTAGGTTGAGCTGAACCATACCATAAGTCCTGCCCCTACCCTTATGAAGGAACCTACTGGATCTCAGCTGGATCTCAGCTTCTAATGTCCTTGCCCCCCTCCATTGGGATTCATGGCATGAAGGGGAAAACAGCTAGAGGGTGACTGGGGTCTCATAACAAGGTTTTGCTACCTCTTCCTCCTTTTCTCCTTAAAGTATAGGAATGTTTTCCTGTGGGACATTCCCAGGGTACTTGCTACCCTGTTATCTCAATAAAAGACTCTTTATTCTTCTATTCAGGAGTTAGATTTATTTTAGTATAGACACACTATATCTAGTTCAGCAGACCTATTTCTTCCTATACATTTCAAAGCTTCTTTGCGAACATGCATCATACTTTGTTCTACAAGACAAAACTCTAACTAGGTGGGTCACTGTTAAGAAGTACATTGGTATCTTGAAACACAAAAAACTGCGTGAAGGTGAGGCTAATAAGCCATGCACATACTTACAAGAAGCCACAATTTCTGATTCCTAGGCCACAGGCACTGCACTGGGGAGTCAAAAAAGGTGTCTTTGGCATGAACTATCCATGTGGGCATACCATTTCACTGTCTGCTTTCCATACCTGTAAAGTGAGGGTATCAGACCAAATGGTCTCTATGGCCTTTGTCAGCTCTAATATTGTTTAATTCTATAAGTGATGTTCAAAGAGCAGGAGTTTCTCTAGTCAAGTTGAGTGTTTTGGTTATTCAGTTGTTTTAGTCATGTCCGACTCTTTGTGACCCCATTTGGGGTTTTCTTGGCAAAGATACTGGAGTGGTTTGCCATGTCTTCTTTAGCTCATTTTACAGATCAGGAAACTGAGGCAAGCAGAGTTAATTGACTTGCCCAGGGTCACATAACTAGTAAGTATCAGATGCCAGATTTGAACTCAAGAACTCAAGTCTTCCTGATTCCAGGTCCAGCACTCTATCTACTGTGTCCCCTAGCTACCCCACAGTTGAGTTAACTAGCATTTAAGTGCCTATTATGTGCCAGGCAATGTGCTAAACAATGGGGATATAAAGAAAGGAGCTGAAAGTCTAGTGAGGGAGGCAACTTGTAAAAAAAAAATGTACAAACTATATACAGAATAAATTAGGATTAATCTCAGAGGGAAAGCACTAAGATTGTGGAGGGCTATTTAAGACTTCTTATAGAAGGTGGGACTTTAGCTGATACTTGAAGGAAAACCAATAAATACAGATAAGGAAGGAGAGTTCCAGGCATGCAGGACAGCCCAGAGTGAAGAGATAGAATGTCCTTTGGGAAGAATAGAAAAGAGGCCAGAGCCCCAAAGGGGTGGGGGTGTGTGCGATAGGGCTGGGGAAAAGAGGAATAAGGTTTAAGAAGACTGGAAAGGTAGGAAGGGGCCAGGTAATAAAGAGCTTAAAAGCCAAACAGAGGATTTTAGATTTGATCCTGAGGTAATAGCCATTGGAGTTTATTGAGTAGGAGAGTAACATGATCAAAACCATACTTTAGACACTGGCAACTAGGTCAAGGAAAGACTAGATTAAAGAGAAATTTGAGGCAGGGAGACCAACCGAAAGCTACTGCAATAGGCCAGGCATGAAGTGATGAGGGCTTAAACCAGACTGGCAGCAGTATCAGAGAAGGATCTAAAAAATATGTCTCAAATCTGAGTCTATCACCTCTCTGGTAGGAGGTAGGTGGCATTTTTCTTCATGACTCCTCCAGAGTTATGGTTGGTCAGAGTGTCTTAGAGTTCTTTTTTTCTTTTTTGACTAGGCAATAGGGTTAAGTGACTTGCCCAGGGTCACACAGCTAGTAAGTGTTATATATCTGGGGCCAGATTTGAACTCGTGTCCTCCTGAATCCAGGGCTGATGCTCTATCCACTGTGTCACCTAACTGCCCCTTTAATTAGAGTCCTTAAAGAGGCCTTTCATTGTTATAGTATAAGTTATTTTTCTGGTTCTGTTCATTTCACTCTGCATCAGTTCATATAAGTTTTCCTAGGTTTCTCTGAAACCATCCCCTTCATTGTTTGTTATAGCACAACAGTATTCCATTCCATCTATACATCATAATTTGTTCAGCCATTCTGTAATTGGTGGGCATGCCCCTTGGTTTCCAGCTCTTTACAACCATAAAAAAAAAATGCTATAAATATTTTTGCTTGCAGAAATCTTTTCCATTTCTTTGATCTTCTTGGATTATAGGCTTAGTAAGAGTATTGCTAAACCAAAAGGTATGCACAGATTAATAATTTCTGAAGCATAATTCCAAATTACTTTCCAGAATTTTTGGGCCAAGTCACAGTACATTAATGTGTCCCTTTTCCTACAGT